AACCCCACACATGATTGGACTGTATTTTTTTAAATAAATGAATATAAAAAGAACTGTTTCTCTTTCGTTTGGGGGTGGGGGTGGCATGCCAGCAGAGTCAAGTTAGGCATTTTCCAAATTTTTGACACACTGAGCCCAAAAGGTTCGCCATCACTGGTCTAAAACATGAGCCCATAAGCACTAGGCATTTTCCAAATTTTTGACACACTGAGCCCAAAAGGTTCGCCATCACTGGTCTAAAACATGAGCCCATAAGCACTGTTCCAAACATGACTTGTGATTACAGTTTTCTGATTAATCATGAATTTAAAACTTTTTGTAGAACCTTATTTAATTCTAAAGAAGGCTGGCAGATTTCAGGGAGTAGAAAAGAGAAAATCTTATCTAAGCACTCTTGTATCACATGACCAAAGTATGTGAGTTTTTGCTTGCTCATCATTGTATCTCTGTTTTTTCTTTCCTTCCTATCCAGCTTTCAATGTCATATATTACTACTGGAAAAGCCACTGCTTTAAATATTCTCATTTTTGTTTTCATAGAAATATTCTTCATGAACTTGTTTAATTTCCTTTTACTTCTCCAACACAGTACCCATCTTTATCCCTTTTTAAAGTCAGGAAAATGTAACTACCTACTACTTTCACTTTGCCATCAATTGTGAATTCACTAAACAAGTTGGTTGCAATTAAATTTTACTTCTTAATATTTAATATACTCCTAGATTTTTTCAACTCTGTATTTTAACTTTTCATAATCTTTATAATCTTTTTTCCCATCAGTTTATCTCAAAAGGTTTTGTCCTACAACTTTTATCCCAACTGTCATCTTTTCCAGTCCACCATTCTTAACAATATATTCTCTGCACAAGTTAAACAGATATAGGGACAATATGCATCCTTATCTTTCTTATTCTGAATCTTTCTGTCTATCCAATTTAAGTTCTTACAGTAGCTTTTAGTTCATTGTAAAGTTTCTTCAGAAGAATAATCAGCTGTTATATACTTAATATATTCCACATTATAGCATGATATACACAAAGGCCTTGCTTTAATCAGTAAGATTAAACCTCTTCTTTACATTATTTAGCTCCATTATATGTTTTACATTATCTATCTGAACTTGTATCCACTGCCTTTTCTAAAACCTTCATTTTCTATTTCCCTCTTTTGTCTGACTATGCTTCTTTGTGAGATCTTAAGCAATACGTTGCTTGCATAAGAAATTCACACAACTTTTTGTTAATCTGCACATTCTGTTGCTTCTCATTTTTACTGTATAGCTGTATACACTGATCTTTCCAGTCTCTGTGGGTTCTAGTCTGTGCACTGCAGCACCTTGGGGCACTGCAGTGAACTCACAGGGGTGCAACGGGATACTTTACTACTTAATAAATGGTACTGTCCTAACTGTCCCTTGGGTGCCGCAGTGAACTGTTTGGGAACCATTAGGGACGCAATGAAAAAATTACTGAGGTGCTAAACATGCTGTGAACCAAAACAGTTTGGGAACCTCTGCTCAAAGCCATAATTCCTGTAGCATGTTTGTTGGCTCTTCCCCTACAGCTTAAACAGCTTATGGGTAATGGGTATAACTGTTTTTATTAATTGTATGAATCCTGTATGAAAGCAGGCTTAAGATATTAGCATTTCAAAATGCAAATGACCCCAAATGCCATCAAAGAGTTTTCGGTATCTCTTTGCTGACATTGAATAGGCATCCTGATTTTTGTATCCCAGTTATAATATTCTGATCAACACCAATGATATTCCTGGTTTTATTTATTTCTTCATATCCTGCATCACTAAGAGCTGGTCCCGGTTCTTTCTTGTTCTCTTTGTATATCTGAGCAATTAAAGGAGAAAACGTGACAGGTAAATTTAAAAATAATATTTAGGACTAAACAAGGCCAGCATTAGCAGATCCTCAGATATTTGTTTGTATGGTTTTTGACTGAGTTACAGCTTACATGGAACAATTTATTTTGATTAGCTAGGAACTTTTTCTTGCACAGCAAAATGCTCTGTATACTATAAATGCTTACTTAAGCTGCATAAATTCTTACATAGGACTCAGGTTAGTCCAATATAAGGTATAATTTATATATTTGAAACTCATGTAAAAATGTCTTTAGATATGGAATTGATAACTACTATACTTTGAATTTTTGAGGTTTTCCAAATTATTTTTAAAAATCATAAGATAATTATTGAAGTGAGTAAGAATCAAGAAGAGTATAAATATTGCTGCAACCTATTTTACATAGTTCTATTTCTCAATATTATTTTTTTGAACAGGTGGAGAGAGAACTTGTGGTGTACATGAACTAATTTGCATTAGAAAAGGTAAACATAATTTTAAATATTTCTTAAAAATTCTGCCTCATTGCATGTGATTCATGTAAGAACTGGCTAATATGTAAATGGACAGTTATTAAATCAGGTATGTATTCATATTTTCAAGAATTTGCCTAAATTTAATCTAGTTGTCATTTTAGCCATTATTTTATTAATAATACTTTGTGGTGAAGGGAAAACTTTGGCTACCTTGTGAGTAAGCTACAGCAGTGGAGTATGAGTGCCTGCAGACTCAGTGTCTGCTGAGCATAAAGGCTGCTCTGAAGAAAGGGCAGGTGTGGGAGTTGGAGAAGAAGGTTGAGGGAGATGGTAGAAGCCAGAGAAACTCACAGAGAAAGCTGGATTAGCCTTATCAGGCCTGTATCAAATTCCCCCACCCTTCTATGCTGCCTGGCTGGGATTCAGCTCATTGCCCAGACAAAGAAGATAACTGCTTCCTCATGCTGGAAAGCCTTACTCATAAGAAGCAAAAGGGCCAGAAACTATTCAAGGAGTTGCTTATATGCGTGCAGCTGGGGCTGGAAGCCTTGAGTCTGTTGGTGTGAGAGCAAGAGAACAAGCCTCAAACTGCTGCCGCCAGATCCATTTACTTTCTTGGTTAGATACTTTACTTTGAGTGCTACTTTAAGTTGTTGGTTTTTGTTTTCAGTGTCTGCCCCTGAATGCTCAGGGGACTGGGAGGAATAAACTTTAGCAGGTTCTCTACATCTTGGAGAGTTCAGTGTTTGCTTTCTGTTACTCACTAGTCAGCTCCCATCTTTCTATCTACAAGGATCTCTGCCACACTGGTGTTAGCAGTGGAATGAAGAAGAGGCCTAATTAGTTGGCCACCCACAAAGTGCAAGCAACTGGCCCATGAAAAGAATATCAGAGAGGATCCCTTGGGGTGCTAAATTAAGGCAATGTGTGGCTGGTGTGGGTCTTCCGGGCTGTGTGGCCGTGGTCTTGAAGTCCACACAGCCCGGAAGACCCACACCAGCCATCGTATGCCGGCCGTGAAAGCCTTCGACAATACATTAAGGCAATGTGTGTTGGGTGCAGCAAAGCTACATCCTAAAAATCAAGCTTTCTCTCAGTAAGTTCAGCAATAGCAGCTACCCATGACTGAGAAGATGGACAGAAAAGATGCAGCATGTAAATCAAATCACAATGGTGACTCCTCTGATGAGCTAGCCTGAGCTCCAATTTTAAAGGAGCCAGCTCCATCTGCAGACCAGTTTATAGGCAGAGATGTAGAGAGAATAGGGAATGGCCTTGACAGACAGGAGGAGGACCTGCTACCAAGGCAACGATCAGAGAAGCGGTGCTTGAGTTCTTTCGAAGAAACTAATTTGAGAAAATGACAAGCCCCTCCCTAATTCACATGAAGATAAAGTGAGGGTGGGGGAAGCACATTCAGACCTGTAAGATTCTGTTACTATAGCTGTTCCAATAAAAGTAGTTTTAGACCAATATGGAATTGGTTTCTTGGTCTGGTCTATCTTATAGAGCTCACAGACAGGATCTAATCATAGCCATTCTGCAAGCCATGATGTGCCAGCCACAAGCTTGGGATGATGCAGAACAACACTGGCAGAACAAGCATGCCAAAATCATCTGGAAAGGGAAAGATTTGCTAGAGGGAAAGAGGCCACTATGAGCAAGGCATCATGAGCAGATGTCAGCTGTTTTGGAGCTCTGCAGACAGGATGCCCTTTTCTTAATCCCTCCTGCCATTCTTCTTCCACAACCTCACATAGAAATAAAGGTGGCAAAGATGGGGGAGAATGAGGATATAAATATTTATTTAACAATGTTTGCAAGAATAGCTACTGTATGCCACTGGCTGGAAAGAGAATGGATGATGTGGTTGGCTCTCAACCTGATTGGGAAGGCCTTGAAAGCTTTTAGCAGTCTTTCACCCCAGGAGGCTGCTGACTATAAAGTGGTTTAGGCTGCAATTCAGCAACAGTTCAACTTCCATATGGAGGCTTATTTATTGAAAATGGTTTCGAGTGTATAGATTCATAGTAGAGGAAGAATGTCAAGAAGACTTGAACCAGCTCTGAGAGCTTGCCAGAAAGTGGCTGTCTCCTGACACATTGACTTCCCAGGAAGTGTTTGATTGCATAGTCTTGGAGCAATTTGTTACCATCCTGCCATAGTACAGCGGTGGTTCTAGAACACTGTCTAGACAGCTGTAACCAAGATTTACAAGTGGCAGAGGATTATTTATTGACTCACCTTGCTAATTTTCTGTATACGCTGAAACTAGGAAGGGGGCCCCACTTGGGAATATAGCTGTTCACTGGCTAAAAAGCAGTCAGAAAGATCAGCCAAAAAGTCCTACCAAGTGACATCTCTACAGTAAGGCGGGACACTCGGCCCAAAACTGCAAGGCGTGGTTGACCAAAGGCCCTCCTAAAGGCAGTAAAGGGAAAAGTATTAGTGGTCAAATTGATGTACCCCATTTTCCCCAAACATCACCAAATATAGTATAATAAGATCCTTAAAAACACTAAATCAGTAAAAAAAAAAAAAATTGAAGAAACCATGAAATATTACTGAAATTAAGTTTTAAAATTTTGTGGAAAATTTCAACATAACTATAGCCAGTGTAGGCTAGAGAATAGAAAGTAGATGTACTGAATGTCTAAAGATCATACTACCTCTTTCAACGTAACCAAAGGATATAATGTATAGATGTACAATTTATATCCCAAGTTTGATCTGTGTCACCTTTTCCTCCAGTTTTTGTGTGGGGTCCCTAATACCTTCCTCAGTGTGGGGTCCCTAATACCATCAATTTTAGGTGGTTAAGTAAAAGTAAACCTACATGTTGTCCCTATCATATTGTACAACCTATTTATGATTCCTGACGCTGAAAAGTTATTCACTGCTTATAAAACAGCAGAACACTTTCTTGTGCCATTATGAGTTTGTGCCATTATGAATTCTGTAGAGAAAAAATAGTATACAAATTTGACAAATTAAAATTATTTCTTTATTAAACTGTTTTACAGAAATAAAGGACTAGCTTGCCCAGTGGCATTTTTTCACTCCTTTTCTTCTAATCTTAGTCCCCTCAATCTATTTATGGAGACACACCGTTCAAGAAATACGAGTCTTATTAAGCTTTGGCTGGTGTGGGTCTTCCGGGCTGTGTGGCCGTGTTCTGGAAGTTTTGTTTCCTAACTTTTCGCCAGCACCTGTGACCGGCACCTGTGACCATCAACGAACTCAGCTCAATCACCAGGACGTGTTAACAGTTCACACAATGAACTTGCTAATCAC